CGGACAGCGCCATAAATCCTCCACTGGCTGCGTGCTGCCTCTGACTGGTCGGGGTGATGAGCACAAAGGAGGAGGTGAGGTGTGAACATCGTGGGCGCTGACTGCCGGGATGCAGCTGCCTCCCTCTGAGCTCCACCACAAAAGAGGCGTCCTGTTTCCTCGACTCCCTCAGCTGGTAACAAAGCAGAAACAGGACGCAGAGGTGATCGCATGCAAATCACAAAGCAGGAGCAGCGCTTCTGCTTCATACCTCTGCTACATTTGAGCAGATTTCTTTCTACATGTTACATTCATCTGTGTGGTTGAGATTTGTGCATGCAAAAGTACATTGAATGGAACATGTGGTTCATCATCTTTTGAGCTTCTGTCCACTGCGAGGCAACAGTGCTAACCAACTGCACCACCATGCAGCCCTACTTGAGGACCAATGAGATTAAATTTTCCAAAATTTCATGACAAAAAAAAGATTATAAAGTGTTAAGCAGAACTTACTTTTTAAGTGTTTTACTCTCCCAATAATTCCACAGACCTTTGACTTTTCCAGTGACCCTATAGAGGGTCCTGAACCTTAGGTTGGGCACTGCTGTGTACATACATGCATAAAAGCAATGAAATTACCAATAAATGTCATTAGGTGGGCTTTACTATATAACAATAAATGTAAAAATACTGTGTTTTGGGTTCAATTGGCAAGAATCTACTATTAATTTTAATTCATTATAATATGCTCTCATAATATAATAAAGTAAATTATAGCAGTTATGATGATTAGAATGATGAAGTGTTCATGTTGGATGATAAGTATTTTATGAGCTTTCACATGGAAATTAACAGAAAGGTTTTGTGCATTTAATAAGTCTGCAGTGTTAAAAAAAACAACAACTAAGTTTGCCTTTAAAATTAATAGATTTACCTTTAAAAAAATGTCAACCCACCGTTGATAGAGAGATACAAAAACAACAACACATGTTTTAGGATTTTAACTGCATGAATAAACTGTTAATCTTAGATTAAATCTTGTATATTTAATGAATTTTTAATTTGTCATTGTTATTTTGCATTCACAATTTATTTATGTAATTTTATTTTTAAAAATGGCTTTTTTAAAAAAAAAAAAAAAAAGAGAGAGAAAGAAGTGTAACAAAAATGTTTAAAAAAAAAAATAAAAAATGAATGAATCAATGTGCCGAGTCACAGCTTCTATGTAGCCAGAGGGGTTGTTTTTTTTCTTCTTCATTTTTTAATCACATGTTGTTGTTAAGACTTAGTACAGACAAGAGACAAACCAAAGACAAACCTGAATAAATGAATAAAGAAACACAATGAACAAAACAATCCTTTCACATACTGTGTGATACAATCAATCAATCAATTAACATCTAATGATAAAAACGCTGAGCGGCCATCGTTGATTCTAGTTTTGTATCAAGCAAGAACAAAAGATCCAAGACACTTTGAAAGAGGCTTTACTGGTAACTGTTTACAGATGGCAGGAGGCAGTGAATGTGCAGCTCTGCTCTGCTTTATGGAGCTTAGTAAAAGGTTGGACGTCATTGTCTAGTTGTCCAGCCCACAACTTTACCTTGTTGGTTCACTCTCACTGCTCTTATTGTGCTGCTTTCTGCAGCAGGCAGCTGTTTTCCAGCCTTACGCACACTACCTGCTCATCACCTGCACGGCGGACAGGAGCAGCTGATGGGTAGCTGACAAACACAAGAGTCACAGATTTCTCTTCGGAGTTTGTAGAGACTCAAGCCAGAGCAAAAATTAAGGGAATACTGGGTGTAATATTTGCTATATGAGCACAAACAGCTTCACAACTGCTGGAAATGTGCAGATGAGCAACTTTAAGTTTGTCATGTCACCTTCATGTATTGTTTCTATTGGCCTCCACAGTCAGTTGCTGCGGTTTGATTTTCCAGCTGCTCTCACACAAATGGAAACTGCATGCAGCCAGAAAGGCGGGACAACGATCTAAATATTTATGGCACGCTTTGAAAAATGCCAGTCAGAAATGCAGACATTTTTTTCCTCTGATCCATCATTTCCCATCACCAGTGCTGCGCTTGGATGACAGCATGGACCAGGGAGCTCTCAGGCAGAGGAGATGGGGTGGTGCCTGCCCTGTGATTTATTAAATGGGTGCATTTTTAAATGCTCCTAATTGCCTTGTGAGGTTTTAACTCTCTCGTGTGTCTCCTGGCCGCCGCGCAGCTGCTTGGCATCGCAAAGAAGGAGAGCCGTGGTCCGAGCGCCTGGCAGAGAGCCTGACCAGACTCAGGAAGTGTCCGTGGGAGGGTGGTGAGGAGGGGGGGTGCTGCCTCTCGTCTTCCTCCCCCCTCGTCTCCATTCAGCTCCTCACCTCAAAGCATTAGTAATGCATTCCTCTAGTCCAGCAACAAGCAGGGTAAGTGAATTTCCTCGACAGTGAGACCGTGTGAAATTTCATTTGCATCTCTGGTTCTCTGTGTTGTGCTCGGCCTGTAAAAACCTCCCAGCCTCCGTCATGCTTTGTTTGTTTACTGCTTTGTTTAGTTCAGCCTCTACAATAAACAGCAGGAAGCTCAGGAGATGATGTCATCGCTATTTTCAGTTTTATTGCTGTTTATATATGTCAAAATGTGGCACAAAAAACTGCCTTTGCTGCCAAAAAACACGATGCATTTTCATACTTTAGTTGACTCTTTGTACTAAAATGATATCTTAAATGAATGATTGCAGTGGGAATTCAGAAAATAGTGAAGCTAGCTTCAAATATGTAAAGATAGAGGAGAGAAATGCAGTGTTTTTCCACAATCAGCTTCAATCTCCAAACTTCCACATGAGAGAAGTCAGTGCTTTGGGCGACAGCAGCTGGCAGGCGAACGAAGGAAGTTGACAAAACCAGACTGGTGGCCCGGTGCTGACTCTGACCTCTGGCCCGCTGTCGGCTCACAGAGGTCACCAACACAAGGCTGCCTTTCTCCTCCGCTCAGAACGATCTGCATCCAGGCTGTCGTCTGTGCGTGCCCCGCGACAGAAATAAATACCAGCATACGCAGAAATCATGCACATCCTGTATGAAACATGGGGAAGGAACTGAACTGGATATCTTGGGATGTGCCTGCACGACAAATTATCTTCCTATAGTTGCAACGATAATCTTGTAAAGACACAGAAGCAAAACTCACTGCCGGTTTTTTATACGTTTTTCCTTTGCAGTGAGAAAAATCTTGATCAGTTCACAGTTTAACTAGTATTTCATATTCATCACTGAGAGAACGGACACTATTTATGGACATTTGTGGTTCTTCAGAATGAGCGTGTGAAGATTTTAAAGTTCACATCTTTGCCATTCTATGTATGGACTAGAGTTCACATGACAATTTACCAAGAAGGAAACTTAATCCTACACAGTGCCTAGAAAAAGTATTTGAAGTTTTCCTCTTCTAATGGTTTTCAACATTGACTTGTGTTCAATTATTATCATTATTTTTGTTTGACAATAATTTAGAAAAAAAGACTCTTTATTGTCAAAGTGAAAAGAGATTTCTAGAAAATAATGTTAATTAATTAAAAATAAAAAATGCAAAATAAGTAATTGCATAAATATTCACTCCTGTTGAAGTTTCCCCTTTTTGCTTTTTTTCCCTTAAAAATCATGACTGATTTAATAGATTTTTCTTCTTTTACAAGAATTTACAAAAAACATATCTTTCATGTCAAAGTGACAAGAATTCTACAAAGTAATGATTAAAAATATAAAATGTTAAATAAGTGATTGCATCAGTATTCACCCCCATCAAGTCAGTATGTAGTAGATCTGTCTTTGGATTCTGCATTTTTATCGCATTCCTTGATTATGAAAAAACTCAATTAAATTGACCATGATTTGAAAACAATAATTTTTAAAATACTTTTTATAGGTCCTGTAACATACCTCAGATTTATGACTTCAGTAAACACATGGTAGAAATGCCAGCCATTCATATCTGAGCTTTTGGTGCAATTTTGCCTAATAAACAGACTACAGTGAAATTTGAGTTGCAGAGCACATAAAGATCTCACCAGAACAGATTTGATTTTATTTTTGCACCACAGTAGTTAGTGTTTGTATTAATAGAGACATATTTTTCTGTTTTTTTCTTGTGCACAAGCCATATTTTTGTGATTTGGCTGTGTGTCACTAATCCCTGCATTAGCTGCACTATATTTACCAGCTATTCACAAACTGTGTGTGTTTGCTGTTTGGTGCTCAGCAGGTAGGGAACAGCAGAGCTTCTTCCTCTGAGAACAGACGTCTGCAGCGGTTGGAAATGACTCGGTGTAATAACAACCATTAGCTGAAACCTTCTATGAAGCTGTAAAGCAGCAGGTTTGGGTGATAACGGTCTTCATCACGATGAGGAACTCTCTTCACATCATCACCTCGTTCTCTCTTTGCATTTGCTGTATTGTTGTTATTGTACGGAAAATATTGATTACAGCTGTTTTTAAGCCGATCTTGGTAAACCTCTTGTATAACTGCCTTGATCTGAGCACAGAAAAACTGCATCTTCCTGCTGTTCTCTGTGGGCTTCATCAATTTAATCTGGAGAATGTGGCCTTCATGTGATTTAAGCATCACCTTCCATGAAAAACATTTAGTCGAGCTTTATCTCTCAAGTCTTTCAAACGTTGTGCTGCTTGTGATTGTTAAAAACTAATTTGTCTTCCTACAACAAAGTATCTCAGAAGAGTGAAAATAAAAACCCATTAAACACCACCAGCCGGCATTAAAACTCTCCCGTATAAACATGTAGAAGATCATCTGTTAAAGCCTTTATATTTCGAGATCATGTTTCTTATATTTTACAACAATTAACTTGCTAACAGTGGAGAAAATGGAAAGAAAAAAAAATGACCAGCATCCCTGTAGTAATTGGGGGTAACAAAGTGAAGTTTTGCTGCTACCTAGTGTCTGGTCCTGGTCAGGATGAACCTCCAGCAGAACCAGAAAGAAATCCAATGATCCTCTGTACCACAGTTAAGGTTTCTTTAATTTTAAAACACAGCATTCAAGCTCAATAGAACCACAGCTTTTACATGTACACATTTTAGAAATTGCAAAAATGACGTATATATATATAAAAAAAAATCTGATTACATCTACAGTGATTTTTTTCCCTCAAAAAAAAAAAAAAAAATCAATGAAAATTTCAAATCTATTCACATTAATGAAGCAACACGTTGTGCTTGCTACGATTCTAAGCTGAAATAATAAAAAAAAAAAACCTACGAGCAAATCAAATAAAAAAAAGGCTTTTAAAAATGTGAAATAAGCTTCTTGAGAAATTTAAAAAAATGTCAATTTCACCATGTTTTTTTCTTCTTCTTCATTTTGTAACTGTTTATAATCTGTACAACAGCATTGCATAACAAACAACAAAGAGAATATGACTACGACCCAAAAACAGAAAAAGACTGCATCAGTGTAATAATGCTGAACAGAGCGTAACTGGTTTGTATGAAAAAAAAAAGTCAGGCTCAATATTCTCATTTGATTGCACAGGCAACCAGGAGCTGTCCACTGTACAGAGTATCGAGATAGTAAAGAAAAAAAAGAGTTGTGCTTAACTTGTTGGCACAGTCTCCACGTCGCCTCTTGCACTGGTCACAAAGCACATCTAAGAGAAGCAAGCTGAGGCGGCGCAAGTACGAACATCACTCCACGTCTGAAGGTTTGTCATGCTTTAGGAGAATTTCCACATTTTACAGAGAGAGCAGAGTTGTCGCAATCCCTTCACTGCATCCACTCACCCCCCTTCTCTGCTTTTCATTATAAATGCTAAAACACATTTGTGAGACACCTTGAAGTTTCTCCTGGAAATCCTCTCCACATGTACAGATTTTCACATAAATCCAGGATGTTCTCTAAACTGCTGCGTTCTCTAGAGAAGGTCGTTGCCAGAGGATGTGAGAGTGGACAATCCCCGGTTCTGTTTTAGGGAGATGAGCTTTTTAAACTCACGGGAACATGAAGAGCATAACAAGCAGTTGGGTGAAGACAGGGGGCACCGCAAACCGTCTGAGCGATAATATTGTGGAGGACAAAAATTCACACGCCGTCCTCCTCTGCGTCACCGTCGTCCGTAAAAAAAGGTTCTGCTGCCAGTAGTACATTAAAAAAAATCTTCTTTTTTTTGTCGAACTCACCACAGTTCTTTTGTATTTTTTTTTTCTTTCTGATGAAACATCATCAAGCTGCTTCCATCCTGCACCACCTTCGTCCAAATCAAATCATGTGCCAGCTTCACAAGTTACAGTCACTGCTGTGGGCTCATCGCACTATTTTTTTTTTTCTTTTTAAATGCCACAGGAAATAACAGTGTCCCGAGAAGGAAAAAAAAAACCACTACTTCTATTTCAGATGACTGTAAGACGTGCAGTAAACTGGTCCCGGACATTAAGACAAAATGCAATACACAGTAATCTGAGTGTGTAAGTCGACATGAACTTGCGTTTCAAGCTCCACAAGCAGAGAGAAGTCCTGAGGAACTGAGAGTTTGTAAATCAATCTATACTACGACACAGTCTGACCTACGTTGGGTACGTGAGAAATTGTTGTCTACACTTCAAGTGAGAAGAAAACAGTGGATTCCTCCTGTATATGTGTGTATATGTGTGTGTGTGTGTAAAAGGCGTTTCTCTCCCACAGTAACGTCAGAGTGTGGTACAGTACTTTACAAAACTAAGCAACCAGTAGTAGTCAGTGTTAGTCTAGGAGCGCTTCCACAGTCCTCAACACTGCAATGCCTTGTTAGAAGTGACACACAGAACATGTTGTGGTGCATTCACGTGTGAAGAAGGAGAGGAAAAAATATTTTTTTAAAAATCTCCATCACATCTGAGCTGCAGTTAATTCCCAGCACCGATTCTTGGCAGAGTAAACATCAGAGGAAGGAGTGCGGAAAAAAACTATCTGCGCTCCTGACGCGTGAGATGATGGATGTCCTCAAGTTTTGCTTCAACCAACCAGCGAAAGCACATTTGGTTTCTTCTATTTTAAGACAGTTAATGGTGGAGAGAAGCAGAAGAGACTGGATGGGGGAAAAAAAAAAATCCTATATGAAGAGAGGACTGAAGACTGGATGGCTGAGTGGCTTCAGGAACGTCAGTGCTGCGGATGGGATGAGTCCAGTGGTGTCTAGTGCGCCGGAGGGTTGTTGGGATCTGGTCTGCTGTTGGCCAGGTACTTTGCCCGCATGCTGGAGGTGTACTGTGAAGAGAAACATGGGATGAAAAACATGCAACATGGCTTCACTGTTTATAACTAAAAGAACTGATTTCAAGTAGTACACATGGGATAAAAATTTGGTTTATAAAACAAATTCCATGTAGGATTTTCCTCCTTTGTTATCTGGCTAAAATGGAAACACACAGGTTTTAAGCTGGAGAACAAAAAAAGCATCTGGTAGTAAACAGATTTCAAGTGCTTTGTTGAGTAAAGAAGAAATCCCTTCTGCTAAATAAAACATCAAAAGCAGCAGCAGAGGAGCGTGAAAAGACACAGGTTGGACATGCACAAAGAGGCACTGCAGAGCACAGCTCATTCAACAGATGAGAGAAAAATCCTACACAGGTTACCTTTCAGACACTCCAGAGCGCTGGAATCTAACGGGACGTTAAATGATTCAAATACAGAAGCGACGTCACAGAAACAGCTACAGAAGACAAAGACGAAAGAATACAAGGAGCTGCGAAAAATGTTAAACCAGCCGGAGTTTGAGCTATATGGCTTTTTTTTTTTTTTTGCTGTCACCCTTCGTGCACACTGGCAGGGCCAGACAGTCGTTTAGGATGCACTCATGCATTTACAAGCACAGAAAGGCTGCATTTCACACTCTGGTGGAAACACAAAGTTGACTTTCAGTTGGACAATATTACCCTTCAGAGCCATTTGGACAGCCTGTTGAGGATGTGGATGGGGAGTGTTTGTTCCCATACAGGCTGAAAACACCATCACTTACCTTGTGTGTTCAAGAAGAATGTGCATCATTACTACGGCCATAACAAATGTTCATTTAACTCAGGATTACTCTCTTTGTGGATACAATGTGACAGAAAAGTGCAACGTGCTTGTTGTAATTTCTCACAACCAAAGTCTTGTTTTGTCAACCCAAAGATATATAGTCTTGTTTTTTTTTATACAGTATAGAACAGTTATAACACTGGTGTTAGTTTACTGATGCACCAAACATAGAACCAGGCTAATCTGGATCAATTTAGTCACTGTGTACAAGTTCTACAGGGAAAGCATTTTTTATGAGCACTTTACAGTTAATCTGCATATAACACATGTTCAGGATTTTACTGTTCAGCTGCTTTTTACAGTAAACGTCAGGAGGTCTAGAAAAGCTGACTGTATGTTTAACCTTCTGAATCCCAAACAGTTTCTCTCCAGTTTCTCACTGCGTTCCCCTGTTTAGTCAGAAAGTTCCAGAATTGTGGTCTTCATGTCAGAAAGTTAAACATCCGACAACTTTTTTCTGTTTTTACTCTTTTGAGTCTGATAAATGATTTTGGAGATTGGTTTTATTTAAAGATAACGTGTATTTTAAACCAGTTGGCGTGTGTTGGGGTTAAGAAGGTTAAGACATTAAAATCAAAAACATTTTCCAGTTTCAGCTCAGACTTTATGACACTCCATTAAATGAATCTTACTTTCATAAATCTACATTAAATCCTCCATGATTCAGTCGCACTCTGACCAGCACTAAAGACCGAGCAGTTGGTGAGTTGCTCCCCTGTATAGCTCTTGTTAGCTTGTTACTACATTTCCTGGCAGAAACGGTAGTACGGTGTGTTGTATTTGATTTTTTTTTTTTATTAAATGCTAGGTTCAGTGCGCTGCTGCACAAAGCACAGGACAGAAGCTGTATGTTGATGCTATTTTTTGTTTAAACATAATTTTGTGTTATAGCAAATTTCCAACCACATCGTGGCCCATATTAACAGAAACATGCCTCAAATATCTCTACTTTTATTAACCTACAAATCATCTTAATAATAACAGCAACATTTATAATTGCAAGACAGAAGTCAGCTGATTGATGCTACCAAATGTAGAAATAAAAACACATCAGCAGAACATAAGGGGTGCCTTTAACTGGCATTTCTTTGCTTTGCACAGTCTGAAACTAGATCCTAAAGGCCTTAAAAATACAACTGTGTCATGTTTTAGTCGTAACCTTCATGAGTTCAGCCTAAAACCCAAGAATCAAGACAAAGCAGATCCACACGTTCAGCGGACTGGATTAATGGCTGCATAATTTGATGCTGACTTGTCATTGACTCATAGGTCACAGTGAGCCTCAGGGCAGAGTTACAGCTTCACATGTTCCTCCCAATACATCTGTGGTGCAGGGGGAAGGCAGACATGCAGCCCAGGGCCACAGGAAACAAACATCAGGTGAGACACCAGGTGGGACATTTACAGTAGCAAGAGTCAGGACAGAGAGGGAGTGGGGGGTGTGGGGTCCATCGGCCCCAGTGGGATCTGAATACAGGGTAAGTAAAGCTGGGAGTTTGGGAGGTGGTACAAGGGAGGAACAGGCCAGCAGGTGGAGGAGGCGGGCATGTTTTGTACCTGTTAGCTTAGCAGATGAGGTTACCAAAACGATCTTGAACTCTCCGAAGGCTTTAACTGCCAGCAGTGACCGCTGTTACTGTCCGCGGCAGTCAAATACAACTGTATGGATTCGCAGGAAAAAAAAAAAAAAAAAAGACGACAAGAAGAGAGTATAGAGAAGATAGACATAGCAGTGGCGAGGTCCAGGCAGACACACAGACACCAGGGAGAGCAGGAGCTCTGGTGGAGGTTCAGGCCAGGTGGGGGCAGAAGGGAATAACTGAGTTTGGCTCTAACATTGCTTCAACAACTCTTCATTTGGAAAGAAAACAAAGAATCCTGCACACAGTCCAACACCTCAAGGATGTCCTGTTGTTCTCAGACTTTCATCAGGCAAAACTGATCTGGGCAAACACAGCCATATAAATGTGTAGTGCTGTTTATGGATGATAGGCAGCGTGCAGGGTTTTCTATTTTGTTTCCAGATGGTATCAAGTAAAGGACAGAAAATGCTGTAAGATTTACGTCAGGCGACAGTTTTATATTGAAGTCTATCCATCATCTATACCCACTTAGCCTTTGAGCATCGTCATGGGGGTCAGAGACCTATCCAAGCTGACATTAGTGAGAGGTGGGCTACACCTTGGACATGTCAAAAGTCAATCACAGGGCTGACACACAGCGACATAGAGCGACATACGACATTCAGGCTCACACTCACACCTCCTTCAGAGTTGCCAGCTAAACTACCCTTCACATTTTTGGACTGTGGGAGGAAGTTGGAGCACTCTACTGATACATGTAAGGATTGTTGTTGCCTCCCCTTCAGTGCTACCAGAGAAGATGCTCAGAGAAATAAGAGTTCTGGATGAACAATGGTCTCTACTGGTTCTCAGACCCCCCAATTTAAATACTAGGTCTTGGATCAAGCTTCATGCATCATAACAAAATGATGTGTCCATGTTTTTAAGTTTATTTTTCAGTAGCTTATAAAGCTGGACAAACTCTTGTAATGAGGGACAGTGAAAAATATAGAGACCAGAATTCAGAGTAGTTAACTGGGAGACTTTTACAGCAGGAACTGTTCCTGGGAACCAAGAACCTTTTGAGAAACTCAGGAACTAAACCTGGTGGGTCCTGGTGGTTCTGCTGGGGATAAAATATGGTGATCAGTCAAACAGACACCACAGCTGCTTCAACTTCTGCATCGCTTGGTTCAGGAAACAAGGACGCACTTTATGACTTAAAACCAACTGGAGCTTTTCTTGATGTTCATTGAGGGGGAAAAAAAAGAAATGCAGGCGTGAGATGCTGCAAACGTTAACTTAAACAGCCCCATAATCGTTTTTTAAGTTTAAAGTTTCCATTGCGGTGTAGGATCCAACGGCTTTGACAAATAGAAGTTACTGGATGCAAGTCTTATATATGAGCAAGTAGAAAACAGAGCGATGGAGGGCTGTTACGTTGACTATGTGGTGAATTTTACAATGATTTTAAAGAAGAGAAGACTGCTCCTCGAGAGGACAGAAAAAACGCAGCAGTTTTTTAAGGGCTGCTAAGAAGTACATAGGCCCTGAAAACGGCTCTACGGGGGCTGTTCTTGCTGTCCGAACATGCACAAAGTTTCAGGCTGCCCTAAAACTCGCTGCAAGTTCCTGCAGTGTAAAACTCTGAAAGACACGGTTGTCTGTTGAAACACATTTTAAATAAATATTGAGAGAAAAAAGAGAGAGTAAGAGTGTGAATGAGCTGAGAGCATGACTGGACAAGCAAAAGGGAGCTATGGTTAACCAAACTTTAATTCAGTCTCACTTTTCAGTCTCCATTCCTGTCTTTTTATGTCTCCTTTTCATTTATTTTTAGAATCAATCTAACTCATGCAATATCAAATACAAACATTAACATGATGCCATCAACAATTTTAATTCATCATTCTGCTTAATCTACAGATTTCTTCAGATTTAGTAGAAACTCAAACAGGTTAGTTCCTGAGTTTAGCTCCTCTGGTTTGGCAGTTCATAATATAATGGTCAGACAGGGATACAAGAAGTCAGTCCCTCAACAAAAGGCTGTCAAATGACCCAGAGGTGTTCCTAAAGATTTCATTTTTTTAAAAACAGGGAATACAACACTTACCGAGGGGGGAGGAGACTCTCGTCCTATCAGAGGCGTGTTTTCACAGCGAGAGTTCTGGAAGTTGGCATTCTGAGCCCTGTAGAAGAAAACACAGAGATATCAAACACAGGAGCACAGTGTCAGTCTCTGCATGCTGTTTTGAAACAATATATTGGAAGCATTACACTCTACCAGTCAATCACTGAGGCTTTACAATACAGCGGCAGAAACTGAGGTATCCCCTCCCCCCAGTTTCCCAAACACTGAGCTTCAATCCTGGGGCTGAGAGATTTAGGTTTCACAGGCCTCACAGCTGGAGAGCAACAGCTGCATCTGCTGCACACAACATGAATGTCTGTAGAAGAACTAAGCTTCTCTCTGGGGACGTATAAACATACTCCTGAGTACATGACGTATCTAATATCAGCCGCACTGTGCAAAATCTGGGTGTGAAAATAAATTATCTACCACTTCTGCCTTTCACTCAGTGCGTGTGTCCATTTCAATTCAGAGTAGGTTGTACCAGCGGTGTCTTACATGTACTCTGTGACAGGTGCGTTGCTGACGGTGTGGGCTGCAGCAGGGATGGAGGTCTCGCTACCGTAGCTGCTGCCACAGCTGTACAGGCTGGGCATGTGGACCCGGTACAAGTTATCATGGTTTTGTCTTCCTCCGTGGCTCAGAGACTCGTCCTCACTGTCCTCCTCGCTCCTGCAAAGACCACACAACACCATATAACCGCCACCAGGGGGACCCCCTGTCCCATCCCACTGATGACAAAGGAGCATAAAAATGCCACGTGGTCACATTTTTCATTTATTCTCAGTCACGTTTTGATTCGATTTCATCACCGCCTCAGGGAGGGAAAAGATGAATTCTGCACTGTTTAAAGCAAAGAAGACATCATTTTTTCCCCTGATTTTAATAAAACAGACCCAAACTATAAAAATAGACTTGTGCACTCAGTTCAGTTTCTGCAAAAGAGCACTATTTTTTTCAAGAGCACAATGAACATTTAACTGCCAAATAAAAGCAGCAGTCTTCTTTGTAACAAGGAATTTCAATTAATCAACTTGCTTCTTCTTAAACAACAAAGTGCATCAGTGTACGCAAGATAATAGTGCTCTGAACATGATCTATGAAAACAGACAACAATGACACATCATGGAGCCTGTCTCCCTCTAGTGTTCATGACTTTCCTTCATATCTGAAGCATGAGATCATAGAATCACACTCACTGAACTTTAGAATACTTCTATTCACTTCTGCATGTTGGGAAAAAAAGGAACATTCATGTGTCTACAACATCAAAAATACTCAGTAATAGAGAACATAAATCTTGATAATGACATAAAGTTGTGATTTCAGATGGGGTAAAATAATCAACCTTAACGCATCATTACAACAGTACAGCAGAACAAGCTCAGCGGGGACCACTGAGAAAAACAGACTGGTGGCGTGTAAGCCTTTGCTTTACAACAGGAAGCTCAAGCTGAGCTCAAACTGATGAACATGCCCCCCAATGATAAGGAGGGATCAGTTAATTATGTGGAGCAGCTGAGCTGACGGCTGTGCCTGGGAAACCACTTTCTTCGTATCCATCCTGCAAACCTTATCTGCTGCTAATAGGACAAAGAAATCAGGATGATTTCACCCTTCTGCTGCGGAAAACGACACCAGCTCAGGCGGTGGATATGATAGATTTAGGCCAACTCTGCACAATTAGGGGGGATAACGGGAAGTAATCTATTTGAGGAAGCAGCTGGAGCCTTCTGGACTTGTCCTGGTGGTAAACACAGCCGGTCTTTGAATAGCAAACAACTATGAGTCCTACAGACATAAAAAAAAAAACATGTTTCTCTGTCTGTGTACATTTTTTTCCTCAATCACTTTTCTTCAATCCTGTGCCGTGTAAAAACATGAGGGTTAAAAGAAACGCTATGAAACCATAACTAATTAATGGGCCTTTCCTCTTAAATTATTTCTCACTGTATACGCAGTCCTGCATATAAACTCAGCCAAAAAGCTCTTGGGCTGGTTCCCATGTGGTTGTGAGGTGGGGGGTGTACGCTTCACAAGTACAGTGGATGTCTTACCGCTTGCCCCGCCAGGTGTGAGGCACACTGCAAACAATCGAGCTGAACATGAGAGCGGTGATGAAGGAGAAGAGCACGAGGTAGATAAGGCCTTCCAGTCCGTCATAACACAGTCCTGTCATGGCTTGGACGTAGTCCTGCAGCAAGAACAGGGACCAATTTCAGCCTGCATTCAAACATCTAAAGCATTTAAGGAAAGAGTAAAATAAAAATGCACATGCTGAAAAAGGGGTCTTTAAAAGGCATCCGCTGTGATTCTCATTTAAACTAGGTCAAACCAATAAGCTCACAGTCGGCAAACTCGAGGGAAGGCAGTGGGGCAGTGGATTTTTACCTTCATTTGAAAAGACGCAGCACATTACCAGTAGAATCTCCATTCTGCATGCAGCAGAAAAATGTTCTGTATTCAGCTCAAGATAGTTACATTTTCAGAAAATAACTGGTGGTAACAGGGTGAGAGAGAAGGCAGAACAGAAAGCAACAAGAAAGTGCTACACTCGCACGTGTGCACTTGGAATTTAGAAGCCACTCAGGGACAATCCCCCAAATCATAGCGATAGCCAAGTACTTGTCATTCAGCCAAATTCATAAACGGTACACAGCCAGAATCAGTTGGACAAGAACTTGCATACAGGAAGGCAGATGTTATTCATACTGACAGGTGTAGTCAGCTGCACAAGCATGAAAGATGGGTTGCTTTATACAACTAAGCTGCACTACAAAGATGTCACAACAAATCAGTCCCCGGGCCCTTTTTCATCAGACATCGAGCAAGCCTACAGTAACACTGTCGTAGTTTGTAAGTCTTCTTGTCCGTGCTCACCATGTGCAGGCTGCGACAGTCCACCAGTGCAGTGAGGTGATGCAGGCTGATCTCTGTGGTGTTTAATATCCCCTGGATCTCTTCCAAGCTTCCCTGGAAATCAAGGAAGGGGAAGAAATACATTTGGAGTGTTGACTGTTTACTTGAAATTCTTGGGAACTTTGTATGTTTGATGTCATGATAAACTTCGACGAAGGAATTTGAAAACTAAATAAATCAGTATTTATGACAAAAAGCAGCAATACAGTAAGTGACAGTCTCCCGCTCCTGCCTATGAAAGAAAGAACGAGAGCTGGGTGTGTGAATAATTACAAAAAGAAAGCAAAAGTAAAGCACTTTTTTTTTTACACGGTGATGAGTTCACTGATTATTCATTCTGCACACATTTATCAAGGATGCATCTGTCATCAATTTACAGGAGTACAGTAACTAGAGCTGAAAAGGCAGATTTTAATGTATGATACATTTTAATGGACTGTTTGCCTTTTTTTCCTCTGGTTCCCATTTTAGCTCTGGCTGAAAATACGTCTGATTGCCTGATAAAAAAAGTTTCCACGACCTCAGCAAATTTCTCTGTGTGGGTACGTGAAGTGAAATATGCCTCTCTCTGTTCCCAATGTCAGCTCTCATTTATGCTTCTGTCAACACAGAGCAAGGACCAGCGCTGGACAATACCACAGTGTTGTATTGACAAGAGCCAGTGAAAGCCTAATGCAGCTAAATGGACATAATGCAGGTCCCAGGTGGGCTGTCAGCAGATCTTTATGTAGACAGGTGCACTTCACTTCTCTGTAGGTCAGTCAGGTCCCATTCACTGGGATACTCTGCTGCCATCCCAAACAGTTACAGCTACCCTGTAATGTGGCACTTGTAGTAATGAGCGTATTGACGGGGCTGGAAACGTACCTTGGTTTGTGTGTACTCTCTGGTGGCAGAGCGCAGCAGCTCAGACACATCGTCCTGCATCTCCACTAATGCTTTGTGGCTCCCGGAAAGCTTCTGAAAAAAGGATGAATACTGTAGCAGCCCAGCACATCTCAGAAGCATTTCCATTTTTTAAAATCATTACCAGAAGCCTTTCGCTGCAGTCTCCTTTTGTAGCCAAGTGGATGTCTTGTGAAATCATGCTGACAGCTTATAGATGTGAGCTGAAAGGCTTATATACTGTATATATAGCTTCCATTCCTTTACAATTGTACTAATAATAGACGCCTGGACTTCAGCAGCACTCAAAAGTTTTCATTTATTCATGTGGCTTGAAAGACAAAAATGTACGGAGTCCATTAAAGGAAACCATAGTCTGACAATAAAAGTGACATTCTGCTTCTGCACAACATCTCTCGTGACTAAAACACACCCTTTGAAGCGGGCGCATGCTATCGGCACGGACACATATGAAAAGCCGCTCTGCGTCAGTTGTCCTGCAGGCAGAATGGGAAGCATTGTGCTACTGCATGGAAAAAAAGGCTTTCTTTGAGGCAATGGGTGTGACTCATAGTGCCCACTTGCATTCTTACTAATTACAAGGTCATATATCATGCAGAGAATATGTCTATAATACTGCGTCTGCTGGCATCTGAGTATGATGAGAATTAAATTATTTGACTTGACAGGTTAAAATACTAAAAATGCAAAAAATAAATTCAGTAATTTTTGCAACAAACCTGCTGGAAGGGGTTAGTTTGTTCCAAACTGCAACTAAGGTAGTATTGCAATATTTCTGTAAGACAGGAAGAAGAGAACATAACAGATTAGTAAAACCACAACTGTTCACATATAGAGTTGCAACTCAAACTGTTGTTTTTCTATGAAATAATCTAATGATTATTGTTTTACTGTTGCAGTTACTCAGAACTCAGCTTCATGTCTTCAAAGTGCTTGTTGTATTCAAAACATGGTCAAGAACACCAAGAAATGCACCTTAATACAAAGAAAAGAATAAAATTCCTACTGAAACAAATCCCAAATATAAATTACACGATGAGTCAATTATTGCAACAAAAAGTTAAGAATTTATTTTCTTTTGATAGATTCAGTGACTTCAGCTTTATTCACATGCAAAAGCCCATCGGCGCAAGAGCCAATCCCAGGAAATGTACATCTACTTTTGTTTGTGAAGCGTTCTTATTAAATCCAGATGCTATGACATTTCAAAGACATGACCCCAACATCTTATGAAGCCAACACACGATTGCTTTAAAGAACTGAGTGTGGTAATGGTCAGAGAGGTGTATGCAGTGTTTATGGACCAGAAGAAGCTCCACTGTGTTCACCAGCTAATGTGAGTGGTAAGTGCCACTCAGCTAAACAATGAATTGAAACACACAGTAAAATTCTGTAAAGCTGATAATTTGATATACTATCAGAAAAATTATTGTTTATGGCCACTTTAGGGAAACATAGTCACATCTTAATTCTGGTATCTCTTATTCCAGGGGTTCTCAACTGGTCTCACCCTGGGATCCACATTTTCCCATGGTCATTAAGTCATGACCCAATTTTTTTTAGGACTATTCGGAGATCAAAATTGATATCCCGATTCCAGCACAGCGAACAAATAGTTGGCTATTAGGCTATTCGGGTCCAGCCCTCGTATGAAAATCCACATTTTAAATACTCCGGGTCATATTTTCGCTTTGCCATCTTGCATCCCAACATCAACACAAACTTAAAACAAACATCAAACAAACTATGGTTATCATGCCTGTCAAAATAAAAGCTTTTTCAAAATAAAAAAAAAAGTCCAACCTGAGACGCACATTATATATTGTTTAATTTTGACCAGCTGTCCGCAACCCACCCAGAACAGATCTGCGACCCACTTTTGGGTTGCGACCCACCAGTTGAGAACCCCTGTCTTATTCCACATGCATTTGCGCTTTGCCTGCATCAAGTCACTTCTGTTTTTTATAAGAGACCAAGAGATGTTATATTTTCTAGTTGTGTCTGATTGTGTTTCCTGCTGTCCTCTTAGAGCTCCACTCTAACTGTGCGCCCGTTGAGCTAATCCTGAGCTCTGAGGTGAAATGTTCCAAAAGAATAAAGTTCACACATGCTGTAATTGTATGAATGCATGTGTTTTTCCCTGAGCACAGCAGCTCTTGAACAACAACGGAGCACACAGCCAATGAAAGGCTTAGGTATAACCCTTCTTACTGCACACTGAATCCTGGAAAACAACACAAAGGCGATTACATCTCTAGGGTTATTGTTAAGTTACAACATGACCAAACCTGTATGCTGCTCACAGCACACTATGAACTATGAAGATTATAGTTAAGGTTTTGGACTTTCACATGCTATTACCAGCCACTTAAGTTAATTTAAACTCACAGCAGTGAGAAGAAGTCATTGAGCAATCATTGCACATGCAATGAAACACTGTGAGAACACCACCAGCAGCTTGACACATGCTGCTAGTGACGTCCAAACTCACTGCTGTGTCAGGAGCTTGTTTCCCACACAGATGAGCATGAGAGAAGAATTTCCGGCAATGAAAAGTACATATCAAGCTGGCCTCTGTCGGTCAGCCCCCACAAATACACCCACACTTTAATATCAGGAAGAGCAGATTTCCTGAAGTCCTGTGGATGGAAGTAGTGATGTCTCATCATGGGGCTAGAATCATTTTTTTTGCGTCACTTAGTATTACCACTGCTGACATTCGGAATAAAGTATACCTGCTGCCAACATACAGTAACTCAAAATAAGAATACAGGAAGCGGCCTTGTACAAATCTTCTACATTTTCTTGCCACTGCAGCAGAAAATGAAGAATGTGTTGTGTTCTCAGCTCAGAACTGAAGACAAAACAGAGGTATTGTTTTGTATTATGATCAGCCTGATTGACCAGTGAGCCACTGCATCAGGCTACTGCCACAATAAAGCTCGTTTATTGGACAGAGAATTGGCATCCAGTCACCCCATCAGATTAGATTTTGGCAGAGTAAGGCAGTCAGAACTAACATGGTTTCAGTCCCTGGATCTTCAGTCAAGTTGCTCTGTGAGCATTTTTATTTGTTTTTTTTTTTTATCATAATTGGGGAACTGCAGGAAACCAGAGGGGTGCACTACAAAGCAAGCTTGACAAAGTTGAGCTTTCTTTGTGTGACAAAACCTAAAACCCCAGGCAGAGATAATACATATCACAGCAGTGGCCAACTTCATTTGTTAACCTAGTCTTTCTTCACCAGGTTCGGTGCACACTCCCATAAAAGGAGGCCTTTGATACGCCATTTAACTCTTCTTTTGCACAAAATGGACCAATAGCGTGTCAGACAAGAGAAACGTGTTATAATAATGGAGAGGTGTGAAGAACATAACATGGCAAGAAGCAAAGTTACTGCAAATGATGCAAGAGAGACAGCTGGCAGAAAACTGTTAATCGTGTCAGTTAATCTATTTATTTTATGACACATTGCTGCTGACTTCTGATATAAAAGCAGTACATTAGAGCCCCTAAATATTCAACATGACACTCAATATTCTCTGTGATATGCCAACAGATGAATCACTTTTCTAATTTGTGTTCTACTAGCTGCACCAAACTTGGCATAAAATCAGGAACAAGCATAATGTACGGCTTCATTCGATGGCATTAATAACGTTCAGCTCAACAGGTTTGCACGTATTATTTATAGTATTCCATTAGCTGAGAATCTCCATCACTTATAGGGAATTTTATGAGATAAAGAATTGGTAAAAGTGGGCTAGCTGTGACGCATTAGTTGCCACTGTGATCTAGCCAGGTTAAAAGAGAGCCACCTTCACGATACTCAAAACTGTGGCTTCAGGCTCAACATACTTTGTTAACCCATTAGTCTCACTTCACAGTACACCACTCAGATGTCAACCAAACTAAACAAGCAACTGGTCACAAGGAGGCTAACATCCTCCCACTGAGCGAACAAATCCTTATACATAGCTGTTTTAAGTACTGACAGAGATACTCAAGTTTACGATTTTGTAATTCTAGTCCTCGGCTTGGAAAAACCCTGCACCATTTTCAGACATGCTGCTCACCTTTGTCATTTGTCTTGAAACAAAACCATCAGAGCACTAGATGAACACTGGCTGCAACAGCACACACTACACAGATTCAATTTTTAGGCAAAGACCCAAAAAGTCTGATAAGAAGAAGAGAAAGAAAAATAACAGCAAGGGTTGTTGAAATGACGCATGTTCAAGCAAATATAGGAAAATCCAGGGGAGGAAAGCAATAAATCCAATTTCATAATAACACTCTTTATGCTATCCAGAGATTTATCTGGTGCAAATTCAGGAAAAGCTGTGAAAGGAAAATAAACTAGAGCTGAATTTCAAAGGCTGAAGTCAGGAGAAGTACCACTAACCAAAACTTAAAAGACAATAAAGTCTTGTGGTTCTTTACCATGTGCTGTGTTTTATGTTATTTTGCATTATCAGCATAACAACAAGAAACTTAATGCGTTCATCAAAATAAATTCAAAAATCCAACAGCTGAATAGCTAACATCTGTCTAAGGGATGAAAACAGAACCAACAACCCCCATGCTGCCTGAATCAGCCTCGGGGCAAAATACAGCATTAAAGCTGTATCATAATACAGCTCAGTGCATACAGTAAGTCAGCCCTCATTGTTCACATTAACTATACAACACAGCATGTACAGCTGATGTCCCTGTTTCTGCCTAGAAGCTGGGCTCTCTTGCATTCAGCAATCGCCATGTTTCAGAGAACAGAGTAGAAAAAGACAAATTTTGTCCAATTGATATTGAAAAAGGACATCAAGTAGGCAGAGTCCTTGGTGCTGTTTTTATTGCTAAGCACCATCTTCTCATATTTTTTTCCAAGGACTGAAGAGGGTTGCAGGAAATATATTGTGTCTCTGATCCTCCGCTCCACTGCTCTTATCTCCCTCATACACTCTGCTTCACAGACACAAACCCCAGGCACTCTAAATTTTTCTCTTACGTGCATCCCATCATGGGACAGATTGGGCAATTACTAAAATGAGGCGTGTTAGAGAGGCTTCTGTACCGCTTAAAAAGGAAGCCCATTGCCCTTTGACCCTGCTGCAGATGTGGCGGTAATTTTTAGAGGCTTTTTATGGGCCGTGGATAAGACCAAGCCCAACCCTTCAGAACAATGTCATCTCACTGCTGCACAATAATCAGAGTATTGAGGCCAGAATGGGGGTGGAAATTAAACAATTCCAGCTAGCATGACTTTTATAATTTCACATGATTAATAGTCACCATTTTAAAGAGTTGGCACAGTCTTTACCACATGCATACAGATATTGGGAAGGATCATACCTTGATTGACGACTCTGTACTGGTCTGTCACTGTGGTGACATACGTATCAGGAGCAACACAAAAGTCACTGGAGGTCTAGAAAATACAAGAAAATGAAGGAAAATGAAGACAACTCACTGACATTTACCACTGCTTTCTTAAACCAAACAACTTCACAAACACAGCAGTAAATGCACCATCATCTCTGATGTAACATGCAAGGAATTGATTGCAGCTTTAAAAGCACTCTAACAATGTGACAGGCTGCTTCCATCTCAGCTGAGAGCAATCACACACACAAAAAAAAATTAAGCACATTTAGGTGTGAACAGTGTGATTCATCTGCAGAGGAGGAAATCCTCCACATGGATATTTAATTTGCATAAATAAAGATGAGAAACATTTTTTTTTCTCCCAGTGGAAAATATACTTAAAGATGGCTGTTTCAATTAAGTAATAACAAAAACAATATCTCAAATGTCTGGATTTATGGTGCTGTATTCTAGGTTTAAGTAGTTTTTATCCTTCAAGATTAAGCAAAATGTTCAGCTTTCTCCTTTTGTGAAGAATAGCTGCAATTTTCTGTCTGTAATACTAATCGCAGTAATTTTGTTTGTGATCACAGGTTTTAATCACCATCGTTAGTCTTGAGGATTTCTGGGAAAAGTGAGTGACAAGGAAAATAAATACAACTGTACATAGTAACACAACCTATAACAGCATGCCTGCGACATTTGTGAAACATGTACTTATTATAACTTGTAATAGCACTATCAGCAATACTAAATGTCCTATATGCTGTGCTGAATTGCATCACATCATGAAGGTGTTCCTATATTATTGCTTAACTGTACTGATTAGGTGAAATAAAATGGTGCTCCATGGCCAAATTCTGCAGTCACTGGCCGTGCACATAAAAACTGTAGTATCCAGTACCGTATTATAAACTGTGCAGTTCACAATACCTGGAAAACAGGATCATGCCCTGATGCACACACTTACCGCAGAGACGGCCAACTCCAGCCCCAGGGAGACCCAGCTGATTACCAGAGCCACTACACCGAACAAGCACACCCTGGGGAGAGCAAGCAGAGATGAGAAGTACCCTTTAACCAGCTGCGTTAGAGCAGCAACAATCGTATGTGCAGCTACAATTTCATACAAAAGAGAAAGAGAGACGTTAAAGGGAATGAAGTCGATAATTTAGTGGGTGTAAAGCCTAGTCATGCATTAAATAGGACCTTTTTTTTTTTTTTGCTTAATCTCCAAACACTGCTTTCAAATTGCACTGCTTTGCAGTTGCTATAAAGTAGGGCTGCAACCAAACAATAGGGAATTACTTTGAAACTACTGTATTTTAAGGTCTTTAAAACCTTTTAAAGAAGAAAATGACCAAAATCCCCATGGTTCCAGCTTTTCCAAAGTGAATATAAGGACTTGCTGACATCCTTAGTCTACATTTGTAAACTAAATATGTGTTTTGAATGGAACTTGAGACTTTTTTCTGATAATATCATGATCAGGCAATAAAGCAATAATCTCTAAACTGATCAAAAATTAAACTCCAAACACAGAAAAGGGGTAAAAGGAATAAAAAAGGACAGGAGCTCAGCATCAACAAACTAACACAACAGATTACACCAATTATTCAAGGTCACCTAAATACTTTTTCTTTTTTTGGAAACCATGTTGAAATGTGTTGAAAAAACACAAACAAAACAGCCTTAACAAACTACTGATTCAACTACCACAGGTGAACAAAAGATATCATTGTTGCAAGTATAGCTTAAGTTGTGTATTTACATATTTGGAATTGATATGTTTTCTTTGCCTGTGTCTGCCAATATGGCATAATCTGATAAAAAATGCTCAAAACTAAAAACTAACAAGGGTTAACGATAGCATAATTTTCTTTTACAGTCTTCCCTGAAATGACTGTGCAGTGTTTTAATGTAAAATATGAGCAAACCTGTCGAATTTAGCATGACAATGTCTTCAGTAATCATCAAAATACTGAGCGGATCATTATGCAGTGCTCATGTTAAATGGACTGGACTGCAGCTTTAGAGAGCTTGACTAAACTGTAATGACAAGGTGGCCCCGATGAGACGGGGGCCTCAAGTACAGTAATTGCCACTCAGTTAAAATGATTCTCGAGGGCAAAACAATTTTCCCTTAAGTGCTCTGGTGGCCATGAACTTGTGGTGAGACTCACCCAATAAGCGTTCCCTTGGAGTTGCGAATGAGGCCAAACAGCACCAGAAGGCAGATGAGAACGTCAAACAGTAGCAGGGTTATGTAGCCTAGCCACCTGCAACGACAAATGTCATTTACAACAAACCATTTATCGATGAAAAAAACAAAACAAGCTCTAGCTTAAAAGCGATTATAATGATCTCATGAATAGATCTCCTCTTAATGTACATCCAGTGTAAGTGATGTGAGGCAAAACAATTGCAGAGTTTATTTGAGGCTACTGTAATACGAGACTTCATCAATCTTATGAGCAACTGAATATTATTGTATGACAGATTATGAACCTGTCCTTCAACATATAGCTAACTTTAACATTGCAAACTCTCAATTTGTGCTACTTCTGTTTTAAATTGATGTCAGACTGTGACTCTCAATGAAAAAAATAGTGACTCATGTGTGGTTTCGCCTACATATTTATGATTTTAGGCAAACATCGCAGCCCGCAGGGAGTTGCACTAGACCGTCTGCAGGATTTTCAAACAAACTGGGAAACTCGATGCCGGTTTAAAATTCTTAGCAAGTCAGCTACCTAATGATGTGTTGAATAAGTAAGAGTCATTCCATCTTGTCTGTGCTCGCCTCTACTTCCTACTTTAGATTCACCGAGAAATTTTAAATCAGAAACACGTTCAACAGAGCGGCGCCGGCCAACACTGTGCCACTAGGGAAGTCATTTTTTAAAGCTTTGAGCAATATATGAACTCAGATGAATAAAAGCTTCACAATGAGTGTCTGCATGGAAAGTTTACTAAAGAAATTCAACATGAGATTAAAAAACCTTATTGTTGGTCTGTCTGTTGTCTGCAATACTCAAATGCTTTTTAGCACTGCTGCTGCTGTCACTGTCATTCCCATGATTAGTACTTGGACTCCAAAATTACAGTCTTACCTATACCAGTCATACAGCTCTATGTTGACGGCCAGTTCTTCCAGCGAGATGCTGTTGTTGTCCCAGAAGGGAATCTCCACCATCTGCCTGACCAACTCCTCCAGCTGGCCTTGCAGCTTTTGGATGATGGACAGGTAGTCGGCATGCTGTGCGTACTGGACCTCAAGCTGTTGCAGATCGTCTTCTACTGTCTGGTTCAATGAGGTTGTACTGTCATACACCTAGAGTCAACACAGGGGCACACAATGCCATGACAGACTTCAGAGAGGAAAAAAGAGATTCACCACAGAGCTCTAATGAAGCCAGGGACGCTCGTGGCAGAAGGAGGATGAATTATTAAACAAGTTGGCATAATTTTTGTGCTCCTGGTCTTACCAGCTTCTGCACTCCAGTGATTGTGCGGTTAGCATGGCGGAGGGAATACGTCAGTCGGTTCACTCCATCACAAGTCTCGCCGTTCCCATAGAAACCGACAGCAATGCCAGCGCTGAGGGGAGACAAAAGGAAGGGAGGGGAGACAGGGTGGTGAGGAGGAGGGATTAGCTAAAAAAGACACAGAGAGGAGACAGAGAAGAGAGCGAGCGAGGGGGACAGCTAGGCAGGGAGAGAGGCGTGTGAACTCTATATTAACCCTGTCGGTTCAGACCCCAGTCAACAGCCTCCTTTCAGCTTCGGCAGAAAGACTCCATACAGAACCATGGAAACACAGAGGAATGGACCAGCTATGCCCTAAACCCCACACTACGGCTGACAAAGGCTGTACTGAGGCAGGAGATCGGCTCTCATTTGCACAGACAGGCCTCATGTTGCAAAAAAAACAGCTCTGGACGCAGCATGGGCAACAGTTTCTCAAGGTACATCAATAAAATAATCATTTTTCCAATTATTTGATTGCAATTAATTGCAGCTTCATTGCAATTCATTCATTCACAGTAATATTTCTGTGTATGTTCTTCCTATTTCAGAGACAAAAATAAGCTCCCTTTCTGTACTCCAATAAAGGCTTGATGCTGATATCTCTTCCAGCGTTGCAGCTGTAGGTCTTTTTGGTGACCCCTATCCAATGCCACTCATCCAATGAGTGGATTTTATCAAGTGGAATGATGATAAGTGAATCGCTTAGAGTTGGGACGAACAGTGTTCAGCAAACAGCAGTCAGTGGACCGATGGGTTTCCCCCCCATCCTGGAGTGCTGCTAATCTCTTCCTCTCACACTTGGCTGTGTGAAAAAGGTGAACGGGAGCAGTTTCACAGCACAAACAAACCAAACTCCCCTGCTGTGAAGTGAACCTGTGGAAACTCCACACTGCTCTTTAATTGGAAAAACAGCATTTTAAAAATAGCTGAGGAAACACACACACACAAAAAAAATCAATCAGCCATTATTCCTAAAGTGGTGCAGTGCTTTGTGCAATGATGCTGAGCACAGACACACCACCAAAGAACAAAAGCAAAGCAAAACAAAACAAGGCACAAAAAAAATGTCTGATCTCTCCAACTTGGTCTTTCCTGCTTTCATGAAAACAGTTTGTGCGTGGGTACGAGCGCACACAGATACAGTGATTGTAATGCAGTTCTTGTACTCATCAGGTCCCCGAGCTCTTTGTGCTACTCTGAATCAACTGTGATGGCTCTCCAGTGGCCCATCAACAGGAGGAGGAAAACAGGAAACAAATGCTTATTCAAGGACAGAAGGCAAGCCCACATGGTAAAATCTCTCACCATCTACCTAAAAAAATAGAATAACATAAAGCTTAAACCAATCTGTATATAGCACTCACATAGGGCCGTACAGATACAGATAAGCAAATATAAATTCATGCAGCGCTACTGTACATTCCCAGCAGGAGCACTTTTGTGATTGCTCCAAACTATAGAAGTATGCAGTGATGAGTGTGGGTGTGAGTCCTGTCCATGGGTTTTCTGCTGGGAACACATTCTTTTGATTTTGCAATTTCATGTGAAAACAATAAGTAGAAATTAAACTGCTAAACTCTTCAAATGTGGCAATTTATTAAATTTGTACTGTCTATCTTATTACCAAGTTGCGTGGGATTATTGTTTGGATGGGTGTCTTTGAACACTCAAAACATCAAGAGGTGTTCAATCACACTCTCATATTCTGAAAGTATTTACCAGGACAAATTAAAATGTGATGATGTGTTCAATGAGAAGAACATGTAACTGTGCTTGCAGATCTGAAATCATGGACCAAATCTCCACCGTAGCCATGTGCTGACACTCACCTACAGACCAGCGTTGCGATTATGACACACCAGGCCGTGCAGCAGCAGTCGGCATTAGGCTGGTCTTCGTTTTTGTTTCGCCGGCAACACAGCCAAATGGAATAGAAGAGCAGGAACAGGAGGTCCAGAGCCAGACAGGCAAGCGCCACGCCTCCGATCAGCAGGATGGACTGATGGACAGAAGAGCAGAGTTATGGAAACTTCATCGCTGTTATCGCGTCCACGTCAATAACAATGGAGATAATGGGCTTACAAAGAGTCACACAGAGGAAAACCACATTGTTTGTCTGAAGAAGTCAGCTCCAAATATGTTTCCTTCTTATCTGTATCTTGTACTACAACTATTTTTACAATCCGGCTCTTCACTGGAAGCACTTTTGTTGATTTGTGAACATCATAAACTTTTACACTCTGCACAAAAAAGTAGCCTTAACTTCTGTACTAAAATAAAGCTGAAAGGAAATTTTCAGCCCTGGAGCAAGCTGTACAAACGGGAGAAAACTCTAAAATAGGCTGCTAAATCATTCCATGTTATTTGAAAAGAAAAGAGAGGTTGCTGTAATTTTTGATGAAACATCTAACAGCCTGTTCATTTAACCACAATAGATACAGACCCAATTGTGGGCATGATCCTCTAGAGACAACAGCAAAGACTCACTATAAAATGCTTATTTTAAGTGAGAGCTTTGCAAAATGCCGCGTGAAGAATGGGGATATAACCTCTCTCTGAAGACAATTAAAGCAAACACAATCCTCTGCGTACCATTGTCATCATTAGACTACACTGGCAGTGTATCAAAGCTAGCACTGGAGTGATATACAGTGCTGAGCGTTAACCCTCTCAGCAAACAGCAACACTTCATATGTAGGTCAGACAGAGGGCCTCGGTGCTCGCTGTATACTCCTGAGGATTCATGGCTGGGGCAGATCATCTAACCATCTTTGTTTTAAGGAATAACCAGTCTGTTTGTTCAGTTTTCCTCAACATGGCATGGCAGTGAATGACGCGCCCTGATAACCTATTCACTGCAGTGAGTGAACTCACTGAACAAACGAACAAGCCCAAAACATAGCCTTGGCAACACAGTATGTGGTGAGACTATCCCTGCTTTGACTGAGGACACGCATGAATGACAGACAAGCAAATCAGACACAAATACAGTTTAATGACTTGGCTCTTGCACGATGCTCCGCCTTGTGCAGCCAAGAGCAAAAACTATAGTCCTCATGCATGTTAATTTTTGATGCATCACCTCCATATAACAGCTGTGGAAAAGGAAAGAATGACAAATCCAATGGCACTCCAGGTTGCATCATCATGACGTAGTAATATAGTAAGCATGAACAGCTCAGCCATCTGGACAACTCAAGACTTCCCCTGAAGCCTGAATGAGAACACTGAATTTACAATAATTAGCAGCCTGTCATCACAGAAGGTTAATAATTATGGTTTGTAAGCCAGCCCACTGATGACCCCTTTTATGTGTGACGTGTGTCAGGATACATCTAAAAGAACAGAGATAATATGCTCAGACAGCTGGATTACATCTGAAAAAAAAAGTGCATTACTCCAATTTCTGCCACATATATTTCACACCTATAAAGTGATGTTGTTCCTATTGAACGTCTAGATGTACACACTGGGTGCCAAACACACACACACACACACAGCTGCAGCCATTATCCAGCCAATGAACCCTTTCTGTATCCTAAAAGGAGAGATGGACTATAACAACCATGAGGTGGCACAATGGTGGCCTTTTTCAGCAAATGGAGTCAAATGCCACAACAAGCAAGCAATATACTCCTTAAAATGCCCATTTTGTCTGAACTAGAGGCCATCCTTTCCATTAAGCAAAGGAGCCCGACAGTAAACATCAGAGACCCAGACATGTCAGTCCAAGCGGAACTCGGATGGTGTACACTTTCGTATCTCAGATTACTTCCATTTTCAAACTGAAATGCCAGTACAGGATCTAGCACATCACCACAAGGTGCTGACACATGTCTGGGCCGTGTCTTCCCGTTTCTCAGGAACCATGATTCACTTCTTGATTTTCCAAATCACTGTTTCGCAGTTAAAGGGAAACAGAGTGATCTTGTGACTGAGACTTTAACAGTTCACCCATGTCTAGATATTTTGCTTGTGTCAAAACTATCTTCTGTGTTAAATGACTGTTATTATTTTACCATCAAATGATTTTGGTTTCTTCTTGTGCCCTTGACAAAATAAACAAAAACTTTCCTTCTTACTAGACAACAGATGAACTCAACAGTTCAATCAGCTGCTCCGCTCCACAGAACTTAACATTTTTTAGTATTACTCAACTTCTGCCAACATAGCTCTCACAGATGCTAAAATATTTTTTTGTCAAACATAAAATCACAAAGATGGGAATGTAAACTACAGCTAACACTGTGCCATCTGGCACAAAGGACATTTGAAACTTTCAGATTGTATTTGTCAGACTCGGGCTGCAAGGTGGCGCAGTTGGTTGCATTGTTGCCTCGCAGCAAGAAAGTGCTGGTTCACGTCTCGGTGGGGACACCATGATCTTTCTGCGTGGACTGTGGGTTCTCAGGCTTCCTCCCACACAGTCTAAAAACATGTTGAGGTTAATTGGTGATTCTAAATTGTCCGTAGGTGTGAATGTGAGTGTGCTTGGTTGCCTGTCTCTAAGTGTAGCCCTGCAATCGACTGGCGACCTGTCCAGGGTGTCCTCTACCATTGCCTTGAGTCAGTTGGGATAGGCTCCGCTCCCCACCCCCTAGTGAGGATTAAGCGGTGTATAGATAATGGATGTATGGATGCATTTGTCAGACCCACAGGATAACAGGTGTCTTTGTCAGAATCAATCTATCGAAGGTCATAACCTGCACACCAACAAAGAGCCAGAACTAACTGAATACGCATTAATACTACCACTGCCATAGGAAAATGTAGCATTGCTTGACCTTTATTGAAAGATTCTATCTAATATTAATCAAGTGAACTAATGCCAGGCGGCTCTTAGCTGCTCATCAGACAGAGCAGACTCCTTCTTGACCCTTGCCTCCAATTTAACTTCCTTAATCTGAGCATACTATTTACGTAAATCTAATTCAGCAAAGGCCATGCAGAGTCCTAATGGCCCTTGTGTGGCGTAACAAACACTGATTCTGATTAGATCTTAAGAAATATAACACTGAACATCGCTGAGTAGGTCAGCTGGGGTGACAGGAATCACAGTATATAGTGCCAGCTGGCTGGTGTCTGGACAGGGTCAAGGCATGGATATAACAGCTACACACAGATGGTGACATGGATCAGAAGGTGAAGGGAAGTAACAGGTGCAAAGAGGTCATCCGTTGCCTAGTTTAAAAAAAAAAAAGAAGCTTGAATGTATTGTTGTATATGTATACAAAGTAAGGTGCAGTAGCATACACAAGTCATTACAACACTCCTGAAGTTTAGTTTTTGCAATCAAATAATCATTAGGCGTTGTCAGACCTTTGGGTGTGTGTAGGATGGCTTGTGAGATTGACTTTTACCTGTTGATACGTCCAGTCCTCTGGTCGGAAATCGCTGCTCGTTTGCTCGAACCTGAAGTTGAAGTGGGGGAGTCTGTGCAGCAGGTTGACCCACCATGGTGGAGAGTAGCTGACCACTGCTGCCATGGCGAGTAAAACCAACCAGATCCACTCAGCAGATAGGCAGGCGAGGATGCTCTGAAGTGTAAACAGGCAGGGGAATCCACCTCATACAGTCTGTCTGAGTCCGGAATGAGACAAAACAGAAAGCAGAATGGATCTAGCATAAGAAGCTAGCTTGGTTTAGACTCACTACTACCTGGTAAAGTTAAAATAATACACTTTGACAATCAAAACACGTCATTATTTACCCAAATGGCAACCAATTTGTCATTTAAAAGCTGCTAAAGCGACACTCTCTTATTTAGTAAGTACGACAACACCGTGCTAACTTGCCAAACACTGATGCAGCTACTAGCTTAATCTTTAACTAGTGGCTATAACCCTAATCTTAGCCGAGCGAGTTACCTTGTTAACCTGCCAAGTTATCTAATTTTGTGTTGCTAGCCCTGCTGTTGTAATGTTAGCGATAAAGTCATAAACGAAAAAAATATGTTAAATTTAGTTTAGAAACAGTCCGTCGTTTAAAGGTAGTTATACCCGTAATGTAGGTTAGCTAGTCTGCTAACGTTAGCCGGTGTAGCTGCTAGTTAGTTGGTCCGCTGAGACTCGAGCTCGAAGACGAATAACAAGAAGAAGTGTCTTTTGTTCCTCTTGACATTCTGCTCCTTGGTTCGTTACATCCCCGTTTGCTGCTTTGGTAAATCTTCACTTCATCACTTGCAGTTGTATTCCGCCGCAACAGCTCAAACCAGCCGCTCCGAGTGAGACATCCATCCAGTTATTATTGGCGAGCAGGAGGACTGAAGCCAACACGGCGACCGTTCACGACATTCACCCAGCTGGCAGGCAGGCAACCCGGCCCGGTCCGCACACAGCCCTCCTCGGCGGTGGAAAAATGACCCGGCAGCTCCACCCAGAGGCGGCCCAGTGCGGAGCTAGTGGAAGGTTCAGGTGGTATCGGAAATATTAACACTGTTTGCATTTTTGAAAACAGGAAGTAGCATGTGCCTGCTGCATTTTCAGATGTAGGACCCTTGTTTACATAATGTCACAGTCCAAATTAAAAATCCAGGCGGATTTCAAATCTGCCTGGGCAGAATTAAAATTTAGATTTTGCCTAGACCAAATTAAAATCATTCCTATATCATAATGAGACTGTAATCCTGCCTGGGTAAATTTTAAAATCTGTCGAGGGCAGAATTAAAATTCTGATTTCATCTAGACCAAATTAAAATCATTCATATATATATATGCAGTATTTGTACCAGTCTTGTGTGACGGTTAAACATGGCAAAAGATGTATCATGAAGAGGTGCTTCATGTGTCTTTGAATGAAAATGTTGTTGTGACCCTTTGATGGATACAGCATTAAAGAATGTGAGGTTCACACACATGGTGAAGTGTGGAGGTTATATCAGATTAACACCTTGCAATGTGCCACACTTTCCAATGAGTATATTCTATGATAGAATCAATGTAACACGTTTCTTTGTCACAAAAAACAATGACATGTTTAGGTTCTTTCATGAATTTATTATAGGTCCTCTGAAAAAATGGCTAAATCTGGTGGGTAAAAAATATACATACAGCAGCTTCAGTTATCAGTTTTGGTGATTTAGAAAGCTGTATTAATAAAATGTCCTTAATGGCATGGCCTCTAAATTCCTAGTCAGCTCAGGGAAGTCAGCAGCTGTAGTTAACCGTAATCACTCACAAAAAGTAAGGCTGCAATGCTGCTAAGTACACTAGACCAGCACAACTGTGTATGTCACCAAAACTGATGTAAGGCATGTTTTTGTCCCAACAAAATTTGTGTTAGCTAAAGAGGACCTATAAAACCCAGAGGCGGCCCAGAGGCGATACCATCAAGCCCCGCCCACTTAGGAATCCTATTGGCTCAGATGAACTGGAACTTCCATACGATTGGCTGGAATCAGTGTCAGTCATATTTAGCGCATGAGCTGCGTTCAACAAACACTTTTCTACGTGTAAACGTCTGTTTTATTTGATAGGGAACAAGATACGTGAAGAATATACAAATATTGATAGCAATGCTTTGGAGTATAGATCCTTTAATATTTAATAATGATATTAATAACTGGCTGCTGGATATGTCTCAGACTGCACTTTTCTAAAAATATTTTTTTAAACAAAAAATGCACATCAAAAGTATTGATGTGATTATAACTGACTTTGATGTGTGTTCTATTGCATATCTTCTATATTAATAACATCGTATTTTGAGGGTTAATAAATTCTATTCTGTTCTGTTTTGCAACACTTTCATATGTTCTTATTTCTTTGTTCATCTTAACCTGAACAAATATCTATGTGTCCTGAAGTTGGTAAATAAACGGCTGGTTGGAACCAAAGGACGAGAGGTCTGGGTTTTTTGGTGTATCACAAGGCAGAAGATAGTACACAACCGCTACATAAGCCCACTTTGATGACTGAGGAGTTTCTGGAGAAGAGTGTGTTTGAGCAATTTCCAAAACAGGACTGCTGCTTCCCCAATTTCGAGGACATCCACTTTAGCGAAATCCAGGAATTGTGTCTGGGTTACAATAGTGAGACAAATCTTAAAATTACCAGCTGGTGTGTGAATGTGTGTTGAGTTTAGTTATGTGAGAGGCTGTTTGTTTACAGACATCGCGATGATTGACAACTTGTGGGATTTCACGTCTTTGGAAAGGCTCGAACCACGTGGGGAAGATTCAAGGCCTGGACATGCTGACTAATCAGACACATCTTAGTCAGACAAAGCTTCATTTTTATATTCTTCTCACATTTTCTCCTCATCACTGTGAAGGTTGTGCCAAAGATATGAACAGAAAATAAGATCATGTGTGTTTTAGATCTTTCCTTCAACAACATCGAGAATATTGAGGGTCTCGAGAATCTGTGGAAGCTTGAACTGCTGGTTTTGGCCAATAATAGGATCTCTGTCATTGAAAATATTGATACACTTGAAAATGTCCCTCATCTTCAGATTGCAAACAACCTCATCGGACAGCTGGACAATGTGAGACAATCATCTTGCTCAAAATAAATGTAACATACTGCGATTGTATGGTAAGGGCCATGAAACAATCAATTCTATGATCTAATGGAGATCTAATGCATTTCAAAGGCGCTGCAGCTCAAGAAGTTCAAGAAGCTGTTCACACTTTTCTTATTTGGAAACCCTGTCTCTAAACAAGAGAACTACAGAGATCTCATTGCCACCCATATGCCAGACCTGAGGTACCTCAACTACAAAGTCATTGACAAAACAACAGTAAGTGCTTTGACACAAACCTGAGTATCACACCACAGTGGTCATATCATAACTTTAGAGCTTTTTCCTTTAAAGTTTTTTTGATCTATCATCTTTAAAAGCATGATAAGCCCCTATTTTTAAAGTTTTCATGGGCATTTATAGTTTGTCTTGTTAATACTGTATGATCAAATGTCTGTGTGTGTGCAGAGATGAAGCATCTATCAAACACCAAGATGTTATTGAGCATATGAAACTTTTACAGCTGTTGACACAGGAAGATGAAGAGGCTCAGAGATACCAGGAGGCTGAACTTAAACTTCACAGAGTAACACAAAGCTCATGTCTGTTGATGCATGAGTTGAGGTGTAAACATGCTGTGTGTCACTTGTGTTTTTCTTTCTTACAGGATGCCTTTGTGGAGTCCCTTAATGGGCCTTGCTTGTTTATGAGCATGTTTCAAGATGATCCAGAGGCAGAAGCACTGCGCTGCGTTCCAGGAATAGCCTCACTGCTTTAAACATATCCTTAGTTGTCCTGGTTTTCTAATCCGTGCAGGTGTGTTACTGGAAACATACAAGAAAATCATTCCTTGAATTCCTTGACCTTGCACTTACATTCAAGCACCAAGTGGTGGAGCTGTCAGAGCACAAACGAAGGGAGGCAGAGGTGAATTCTTTCCTCAGTGCCCAGGATAAGGTTTATAAAGATTCCCAGCTGAAAGCATCACAGATGTTGGAAAAGTTTGATGAACAACACCAAGCTGGGACCATGTTGTACACAGATATAGTTGATGCAGTGTCAGTAATCAGCATGAGATTATCTCTTGTGTGTTTGCCTTTATAGAGCTTCGGGCTCTGGAGGATAATTATTATCAGGTGAAAAAAATTGCTGTTTCAACTCTGGAGAAAGTGGCCAAAGGGAACCTGGAGGAGGACCTGCCAAGGGAGGTTGTAAAGGTCAGTGTTTCACCTTTTAGACCAAATTAACTGTGCAAAATTATGATATTGTTACTGTACAATTATACAGACTGTCATGGCCTTAGAATGTAAGCCAAAGGAAGACAAATGTATTCCTGAAAATAATGTGTCAGCAACAAGACAATAAACAGGATTTATCTGAGACATGAATGCATTAGGACAATATGGAAGAGAAGCACAACACAATATACAAACACACAAACAAAAATATCTGCAAGGGAGAGATTATCAAACATGACTGAAGGCTAACGCCACAAGTTTTTAAAAAGTGAAAAAAATAAAACAATTAATCTCCCTCCCAAAGAAAAAAAGGTTGTGTACGGTCTAGGGCAGGTCAGACGAGGTTAAAACGTATTGAATTAACAGCATCAGTGCTTCATTCTTGCACTCCTCTGTTTTCTATGTGTGGCTGTTTACAGAGAAAGACACGGTGATGGATGCACGATAACCACCTGCTGAAGATCAGTGACCGAGAGATTCAGTTGGTTACGGGTGTCAGTGGCTGGAAAATGACCCTCATTAAAGCTGTAGAGAACCAACACTACACTTAAACAATCACATTCGTGTAAATATGGACGAGGAACTTCTCCTCTTTGTCTTCTGTCTCTTTGTTGTTGTAATTTGCTGTTTCTCTTTATGGGTTATTACAGAATCAAGACAAAGAACTCAAACTGAACCACATGCACATCTCAGACACCCAGAGATTTGTTGAATATTTAAAGGAGCAGCTGGAGTTGTGGCAAAAACAGTCATATGTTCCCCCAAAAATATTTGTATATGTAGTTTCACAGCCTCACTAAACAAATAAGGCAAATTTCACTGTGTGCAATAATGTTTATGCTTTATAATTGTATTTACTTGTAATATATGACACAAGAATTGCATCACTTCATTTTCCTGTGCATCTACTGTATTTAAGTATAGCTTTTGAGAAATGTGTATTAACATTTTAAATGAAAAAAAGTATTCTCATTAAAGTATGAAAGTATGTGTTGTATGTATTGTAGTCACATGACACAGTGTATTTATTAAGAAAAATGTAGTTTATGTGATTATATTTGATGTCTGTGGTAGAAACTGTAGATATTCTCTGTGTGGCTGCTATATTTGTGCAGGAGATGCAGTAATGTGTCAAATTATTACCACCAGTGAGAGAAGTGTTCAGATCCTTTACTTAAGTAACAGCACCAATAAAGAAATGCAAAAATACTTCATTACATGTAAGACTCCTGCATAATAAAGTAACGGTCTATTAGTGTCAGCAGCAAAATGTCATTAAGTGTAAAAGCAAAAGTCTGGAGACCTAGTTTGGGCCCTCTGACTGAGATATTGTTCTTTATTACATCATTAGATTATTAATACATCAGTGTGTCCGCAGCATGTTTCTGTTGTATTTGCTGCAGGGGGAACTAGTAGGAAGTACTTTAGATATAGTTTTATATGCAGAGACACCAGATGATTCTGAGGGCTTGATGATT